TTTCTTCAAAAAAATCACAATGACAATAATCAAGGTAAAGTACTACCAATAAATTCATGTGGATTTAGAAAAAGTAATTGAACAAATGTTAACATAAAATATTATGCAACATGACCTGGAGTTTAGATATCTGTCTGGCTCTGTATTTCAGCTGGGGTGAATGTTTTGCAGAACCGAGCCAAGATTGATTTATTAGCTAGGGCCACCTGCCTGACTGCCCTCAGCATCATGTCAGGCACTGCACTGCCACTTTCTGTTTTTCTTTTGTAATTCCTGACCATGTCTTCTCGCTTTCTCCTCTCCTTTAAACCACTCTCTTCTCTGTAGAAATACAACCAAAATTTCAATATGACAACTGCTAATAAGCTCACTCCCTGGGCTCTATTTTCGTGCCTCGCCAGCAGCGTGGCACAGCGTAAGTCAGGTCCGCCGCACCGATGAGGCGTGCCCAAGCACACTTTGGTATTTTGGTAAGTGGCGCACCCCAGCGTAAGTATCCCTCCTCCCTAACTCAGCTCCCTCCAGTGGCGTAAGTAGCAGAGAGGGAGGGGATAAGGCGTGGAGTGGGTTGGTTTGACACAGCCTAGTTCTTTTTTCACCAATCACATCAGCTCCTCTCCTCACCTTTAGGTCTGCCACCTAAACTAGTGATCAGCTTTGGATGTGTACACAGCTATGGCGAGGTCTCTTGCCTGATTAAGGAGGTCATCTGTTATGGAATCATCAGGGTTCTCACCAAACTCTTCGGGCTCTATTTTCGTGCCTCGCTGGCGACGCGGAGCATGCGCAGTGCAAGTGAGGTCCGCCGTGCCGATGAGGCGTGCCCAAGCACAATTTGGTATTTTGGTGAGCGATGCAGCCCGGCTTAAGTATCCCCCCTCCCTAACTCAGCTCCTCCCAGCGGCGTAAGTCGTAGCTAGGGAGGAGAGAGGGCGTGGAGTGAGTTTAACACAGCGGAGAGCTGTTTTCACCAATCACATAAGCTCCTCTACTTGCCTTTAAATCCCCCACCGGCGAGGCATATTACAATTTTCGTAAAGTAGTCACAGAGATCAAGAGATGTCTGAAGACAGTAATGCCACATGATGGCGACAGAAGGCAGCCCCTCAACAAGTGTCGCTGTAAGCGCTGCAGAGGGCGTCCTTCACACTCTCTCAGCACAAATGGATTTGGTGTGTGTAAATTTGGACCCACTAGTAAGACAAATACCCTTTTCCACAAATAAAGACACACACAAAGTTGCACACATTCGAACCTCACGTGACAAAGGTGGGTTGTGCGCACAGATCACATCATAAATTTCAAAAATGGCATTAAAATCTGAACCATCTGTGCGTAAATGACGCATCACGCTCCGTGGCCTGGCTCTTTCTCTCAATGATGTTGGCATATAAAGTAAATTTGGCTTACAAAACAGAATATTATAATATTCGTATGTAGGCGTAAAGTAAAAAACTCATCTGATCACTGAAACAAATCATCTGTTCAGCAGCAGCTGCAGCTGCAGCAGGATGGAGAGAGGACACGGAGACATGTCCAGGTCGAGCTGCGCAAGACATAAGAGGAAGAGGAAGAAAGAAAAGGAGGGAGACGAATTACATATCTTGTTAACTTCATCGTGTGTGTCTATTTACTAGATATTTAATTTAATTTAATGCAGTTTCAGCTGTGTTGATTCGGTCAGGTTGTGTGTCCAAACGCATGCCAAATGCGCTCATCAGATCAGATATAGATCAGAATATATCTATATAGATCTAAATGTATGTGCTGACTCAGATTATTAGTTGTTGATGATTATTTATTGCACTGAAATGTGCCTGACACTGTAGAAACCTGCTGGTGAGGCATCAGTGACGTATGCCGATACGCCGCCGGTCTACCAAAATACCTCTACACCAGCTGCGCTCTGCCTGTGCTGAAAGCTGACCAGGTTTAAATCAGCGAGCTTTCAGTGCACTTTATACACCGGTGGCGAACACGAAAATATCACTGCGCCCGCTGATTCTGTCGACACCTCCCCCTGCCACACCACCACGCCCAGCTTGGCGGATCTCGGTGCACCTCAATCCACGAAAATACCAAACTGGCTGTACACCGGGCTCCGCCGGACAAAAATACAACTGCGCAGGGTCCGCCACCCTCCACCGCCTTACCGGTGTGCACGAAAATAGAGCCCTTCAAGTGCAGGTATATCTAGACTCATGCTGCTTTTGAACCATGTCTCCTTCCCAGTAAAATATGGATAGCTAGTGATATCTCTACCACTCAGGCTGTGGACGAAGGGCATGGCACAACATTGTGAAAGTCCCAATGCCAGTACCATTGCATGTATCGGCAGGTACGCATTCTGGGCTGTTCTTACCCACAGCTCTGGGAGGTCGCTGAGGTATGTTGCACCATAGTATAGGCACATGATAATGATGTCGGTGTCATTCGCATGTACGACAACTCTGTCAACTCATTCATTCTTGAAACTGTAGAGGGTGTGGAGTATTATCCTTGTGTCAGCCTCCTGTTGTGTGGATTCCAGAGCAGGAACATCCATAACCAAACCTCCTGTGAGCAACACACTCTGCATCTCTTCTTTGAATCCACCACCCAGATAGAGATGGGTTGGGCCAAGAACAGGCTCCAGTTGTTCATTCTCACACCACTTCTCACAGAGGACGCTCAGAAGGTTTGCTTTGTTAGCTGACACTGCAAAAAACTCCTTTGGATCAGGAGCTGTGTACTGCTCACTGACTTCATACACTCTGGCTGATTTTGATGGGCCGTATCTCTGTTCCTGTTCAGCTGACTTAAGGCTGGATCCACTGTACCTGTCACAACAGAAGTGTATGATCTCAGTGCCAGAAGGCACATCATTGAGCAACATGTGTTTGTATTGTTCAGCAATGGTTCCAAATCTTTCATCTTTGTGAAAAGACCAATGTCATATCGCAGTTTGCATCAACAAGGCATCAACTGAAAGCTTATTTTGTTTTCTTTCAATTGATGTGCTCACTGTCTCTTTGGAATGAATGATCGCAGAGATATTCAATCAGAGAGAGAAAGCTGTCATCTGATTGGGTCTCTTTTTTGGATTAGGGGTTGCATGTTTGAGCCCAACCTGTAGCTTTCCAGTAGCTAGTTTACCAGGTTGTCCACCCAGGTTGTGTTCAGTGAAGGTCCTAGATATCATTTCTGGTGGACAACCTTTTACAACGCTCCGGGTCTGTTTTTCCAAAAACTGGCTTCGTGCCCCCTGGGTAAAAGACGTTTGACGTTTTAGTTGCACCCTCTGGTGACAAAGTGAATTGCAATGTGACAACTTACCCATGTGACAACAAGCCCTGGTCTCCCCTACTCTTAAAAACATTAGCAGTACAAGCCAAGTATACAAATACTTCTATTGAAATAATAGCATACCAAAAGGTAATTTTAATTATACTTCGGAGTCAGCATGCAGATAGCCGAGTGGATTATGGCACACCTCACATTCGAGACTGTGGTCCACGCTGTGGTCATGAGTTCAACTCCTGTCCCAATCATGTGCTGCATTCCACCACCCCACCTGTCTCCCCTATTGCCACTCTGTCCTACCCATTGAAGGCGACCCCCCACCACCACCACCCAAAAATAAATAAATAGGTAAATAAATAAAGTTATGCTTCAGGGTGTACTTTTATAAACTAAACAGGGGACTAGAATTTTTAATACTAGTAAACTAATAGTAAACCACTTTCAAGTATGCTCAAGTCCCCAGAAGTTTAATTGTACGTACACTGAAAGTATCAGTGTACAAAGCATACTTTGGGAAGTATACAAAAATGAACTTCAGTATACTTCATCAAATGTACTCGGGGTATACCTTTTTTGGTATGGGTCATCAGAAACCAACGGTAGACAACAAAGAGACAGTAACCGTGGTTTAGTTTTGTTTCTCCGATGGTTTTGGCCAAGAAAGCCATCTGCATGCTCAGACCATCGACTGTATATACACAGTATATGGCTAAGACAGAACAATTGCAATGCTCAAAGAATTAAACCACTTACAATATTTATGTTATCTAAAAACTTTCCAAACTAAATGCAGGTACTGTTGACCAGTCCGAATCCAAGTTGTATGTGTTACAACAACTTTTGATAATCGTCCCACGAGAAACGTTTTTCGGCATCATAGCCACTCAAAAGCATACATTTACGTATGTAGCTCAACTTGCCTCATTTAATAAAATGTTCATATGCAACAGGCTAACGGGGGAAAATCTTTTTTTTCTTTATTAATAGCCATCTTACAGCATAATTCAAGCAAAACTTTATTTATTTTCAGGGTTTCTCTGTCCTCACGGACGTTGAAACGTTGTCCAGCAGACACCACCGCCACCTCTCCCCTCTACATCATCCTACATTGGACAGCAGCACCATAATTACGTCTAGTGTACGTGTATTCTGGGCCCAGGGACCATATTTTAATTACTATTCTATTTTGGCACAATTGCCTATAATTTCTGAGCGGGTTTGTGTGGCCTGTACCGGTGTTTAATTCTGACCGTCGTGTTGTGTGTCGGGTACTCACAGCACTGCAGGTAAATAAACCGCAACTTCCAGTGTCTATCCTGGTTTTTCCGCGTTATTTTGATGGATAGAGTGTTGAGACTGTTGTCGGGGACGGGGCAGGGGCTTGTGTGGTTTCTTATCTCCTCTGCATCGGTCGCCATCATTTTCAATACTCTATATTTTTCCTCACAGCTCCCATCTTCTGCCCGCCCCTCTCTTTCTGGTGCTGCGGGAACGCGCACGGTGCTCAGGACGCTGCACGCGCCCGATGATGCTCTTTGCATATGTTGGTAGGCATCATAGAGTGAGCGGAAGATTTTAGTGAGAAAAGTAGTTCATATTGGACATTTTGCTAATTGAAAGGACAAAAGACAGTTCAGTTTGTAATCTTCATCGCAATTTATGTGGTATGAATAATTTTAATATGTAGGCTAATATACAATGTCTTCTATTCATTCAGTCAGATATCACTAATGTGGCTAATAAGCCACACAGACCCTTAAATCTCCTACATTTAATTTTTTCAAATTATAAAGTTTGTATTGTTTTGCTATTACTATTCTTCTAATAATTTAATAACTTTGTGGCCTATCTTTGCTTTAGTGATACAGATATGTGATACATTTTTTTCGCTAATAGTTAAACTATGAGATTTTGTTTGGAAGTCAGCAATAATCTCTAGCCCGCTAGCAATCAAGCAATGAAAATTAACCCAACTTTCATTAGCTGAAGTCTTTTATACTTTTTCTGTTCTGTTTTGGATTTTGAGTTAGCACTGGTCTAGTTTATTACTATAGACCAAGGAGTGATGCTTCATTGTTTGATTCTATGTGTCAATGAAAGGAAGAAATGTAGACACCCAAACATTATTTTATTGCATTAAAATTTGACAAGACTTGAACAGGTAAGAGAATAAGAAACATGCCAAAAAATATTTTTAAAGGTACAGTAGTCAAAAGAGTCATGCACAAAGAAACAAGGCCATGAGTGTTCATTTTGAGTGAAAGGGTAAGCTTTTTCTTGAAGTAAGATCTTTCCAAATGATATCAAACCTTAAAAACATTTTTTGTGCAAATGAGTGTCTGTATGCACTAGTTCTGCATAAATGAAAGGTTTGAAGAATTTACTGGAAAATTGAACAATACATAACATTCACAATTCAGCAATTCTGTGCAAATCTTACGAAACAGTAGTTTGCAACACTTTTGTATTTTATTTATTCTATTAAAAAAAATCATACATTGCATATAATGTCAACCTTACTGTGCCATACCATTGTTCTGAAAGGCCATTTATATGAAACCCTAACAGTCTGTAGAAACCCCCAATGGACCAAGAACATATGTGCCTGACAGCCTATGATCCAGAACACAAAAGCCCATTATTCAGAATACCCCAAAGTCCCAAAACTTGTTGACACAGATCTTTGCTAAAACTCATTCACCCTGTAGGTTTTACAGGATGACTGCTGGCTCTGTCCATGGTGCTGAATTACAGGAGTTGTCTCTTTTTATACACACATGCTGACATACTTGTTCTTCTATAACTCTGACACTCAAACTGCATTCCTCAGCCACCAACCCTAACAAATGGGGATGTAATGGTACCTCACAGGACAGCAGAAAACCACCTTGATAATAATTCAAATCAGTTAAATGCAAATTGAACCAAGACACTCATTTAGACAGCAGGAGTATATCTGCCTTTGACATTTCTTGTTCAACTCCATTACACCTCTTATGACTATTAGGATTTTGGTTTTATGGTCTCTCAAAACAATGGGCAGTCCCTTACTGAACCATCTAAAATTGTATATAAATAATGTACACAGTAAACGGCACACAGTCCAACCAAATCAGGTTGTTTTCAAACTGTGAGTTGAGACCTCTTTATAAGGTAAGGTACGGGCCCTACTCATGCAATAATGCATTTTGTACTGCAAATTGTAATGCCATGTTTTATAGACAATAAGACGGAGAATGCACATACCACCAATGCCTCCTCTACTTATATACCAGGTTAATTTAAAAGACTCACATAGAATGAAGAAAAGAGCAAGGGCACCACTTTAAACCTATATGTACAACAGTGTAAGGTATGAGCATTAGATCGTGGCACAGTAGTTCTGCACAAATGTTTTATCATGCAAATATCTGAACAGATGAAAAAGATTCATGCTATGAGGAAGACTCTTCATACTGCAAATAAGACCAACTGTAATCAAAATGACTTTTCAACATGTTACAGGTTGATAAAATCTACCACGGATAACCGACTAACGTTCTTTGTCACACATTTAGTTGTTTTTTTTGTGTGTGTCAGTGTGCAGCAAAGTCTTTGAATAATGGCTGAAATACTCATTGCATTTATTCTTGTCAAATGGGGATTTTTTTTAAGATGGTTAAATCTGGCATATCAATAGTTAAGCTTATTATGGTGCATGGCTTTTTGAATTTTTAGCCCACTGATCTTCTTGGTTTGTGTGCAAGTCATATACATTTGCCCTTTTAAAAGACTTAATAGTTCAAAGCACCTATCTAACATTCTCCATTAAATCAAAGCACCAGTGAGCTTTGCAGGTTGAAACAATACATTAATTTATTCTATGTGCACTATCATATTGCTTTTATTCCAGCAAATAATCTTTCCATTGTTAACATTTGCTTTACTAGTGGTGCATTCACATTGGTTCTAAAGCATACGTTTGCCTCTATTTTTAAACATATGGTTCACCACACAAACTGTGGCTAAGTAAGCAAGGCTATCTAAAACAATTGTTTGTTTGTTTGTTTGTTTTATGTATTTTCGCTTGAAGTTGTCCTTCTATTGATTTTTACTGGCATTTAAACTGCCATGAACAACAATCATCCACGTGTAGTCTAAACACTCTTGATTGCTTTCAGATCTAGACAAAACCCACATGTGTTTGGTTTATAAAATAGTAGTGGGTAATTGATCTTATCTGTTATAGTGCGATAGAAGAAATTGGAGCTTTATCAGCTTTTTTTTTGCTTTTTTTGGTTTACCATTTCATATTGAAATTAAAGCATCTCTTGCCGATCAAAGGCACATGATATTAAGCAATGAACGCTAATATTTTTGTTCCCTGATGAGTTTCTTTTCAAACTTGGTGTTGCAAACTGGACAATTCAATACATGTGATCAGTTTTCTTCTATAAAATGCTTTGTATCAAATCTTTGAAGCACATTGAGATGAAGTTTAAAAGTGAAAGAAAAAGATGCATTTATCTGTAGAAACACTAGACACTACGCTCGTTATCATGGCAGTTAAAGAAGAAATGTCACAGATTCCTTTTGGTGTCTTTCCAGGTGCAAAATCATGTCCACAAACATTTCAAAACTTTACTCACAAAGAAATTCAAAGCTGCAAAATTTGACCTCATCCAACCTATCCATTAGGCTTAGAGAAGTCGATCACATTCAAAGTTTTACAAATAGCTAAAGGTATGAAATATTGTTTTTTATATTATAAAAAGTCCACTACCTTTGTATCTAAACCACCACTGTTTTATTACACATCATGCCTAACTACAAAAACAAAAACAAAACCTGAATCTCATTTGATCAATACTTTCATGTATTCAAATTTCGTTGTACCTGTTACAATGGCAATAAAGGACTATTCTATTTTATATGTTGAATCCTTTGATTTCCTGCAAGGACTCCTTGGGCTGCAACTTTGTGGTTTGCTGGTTCAACTAAATGATTTGGTACCAGCTTGAGAACTATAAACAAACACACACAATTGCTTCAAAAAAAATAATGTTTTTGAATGCTAATTCTTCTTATTAATTAGTATTATTTAACAGTCACAAATGAGAGATTTATTGTTCAGTTCTCTCTTTGGGCTTCTGTAGGCTATTAGAGCCAATGCACCAGCCGTACACTCCTAAATCTCTTGTCATGAGCAGAATAATCTGCAGCACAATAAGAGAGATCACTGTGTGTTGGCATTCATAAGGGAGCGTGTGAGAAGAATAAAGAGAAAGAGGAGGCAGAGAGATAACACAGGCTGTCGCCACTTTCAATATTAAGAGTTTGTAGAGTGTTGCAAAGTCATTGAGAAAACGGGAGAGAGCAGCAAGTGGAAATAGAGTGCAATTGTCAAACACTGCATAATGGTTGTAAATGCATCCCTCTGGAATGACTGTGTTTTGTGATGCCAATCTGCAGTTTAATTTCACTTGTTTATGCTAAAGCATCTGAGTGTTTTTATCTAATCTACTCTGTGAGACTGTTATGAATGTTAAACAGGACTGGATTTCCAAGAGACATTTGGCTGTGGTAATGCACTGGCTTATTCAGACACAAAACTTGTCACAGATTCCTTCCCAGGCAGACAACTATTACTGATGTTTACAACATCCTTTCATCAAAGAATTGCTATCCTTTGGCTGGCTTTGGCCCTTTTCAGTACTGTCAACCATATTTAGTTGTGGATATCTTGCCTCCTTCTTCTTTGGGTAACTGCCATAGGCTGTATTAAAAATGGACAACCTGATAGTTCTGTAAAGATGAAGCCAAAACTGTTGGTGCTTCCCCTATCTGGTTGTTGTGTTGTTACAATGGTATTCATGTGATAAGTAAAAGGAGAAGAGTTGGCTGATGTTCATTTCAGTCACAGTCAAAAACAACTGAGAAAGAAACTTCCCTCATTTCCCTGAAGTCAGAGCATAGTTTAAATAATCAAAATTGAACTCTGTCAACCTTTATTGAGCAAAAAAAGGCATTATCTTTGATAACAATTCATCAGTTAATTTGGTCAAACTTAATTCAGGTTGACAGTAGCTAAAAACCTGCAAAAAACACAGGAGTTTGCCAATTTACTGCTGCAGTGAATGATTCACACACATTATATCCATGCAGATCCTCGGATTACTTGAAATCTACAAAGCCCATACACTCCTGCTCAAGTTGTTTGTGATCTGTGTTACTATGTAAGAGCAGCGTTTGGAATTTTCTTCTTTCCAAAGCCAACAACTTCAGCATATGCTTCTGGTGATGGGAATTTCAGGTTTGTCTAGGGTTTGAGATCATTTGGTTGGACACAGAGGGGCTCCTTCAGCTTTTAAACAGCTCTCTAAGGTACCATCTTATAAAAATGACTACGAGAGTTCTGTCCTTCATGAACAACAAATACTTTCCACCTCAGCACAGTTATGTCAAACTAGTGTCTTGCGCTGGTTTAATCTTTAATAAGGTGTTGGATGATGGACTGTGCTGATGAGCCAATGTTTCAGTAGTTCCTTTTGACAGGAAAATCTCATCTTGCTGACTTCTGACAGTAATATAAATCATTGATTATCAATACTTTAAGTGGAAACTGTATAAACCAGGCTGTATCCTCAGCTGCTTGGCTGACACCTACCCCCCTCACATTGGCCTCAGTCATTACAAATTATGATAAAACAATTGTAAAGAATGTCGCTGATGGTCTTGTTTGCTTTCAATATCATGAGAAGACAGCTTTCCAATTTACTTTTTAAAACATAAAACATTTAAAACAAAACTCCTCACAGGAACTTTAAGTGCATGTGTTTATTTTCATTTAATTTTGATTTATTCTTTAATGCCAGAAAGGAGGGGACGTGACATCCTGTCACAGAGGATTGACTCAATTTTCAATGAGAAACTGCTTCAAACAGGCACAGAGATCCATTTTGCTAAGAAGTGTACAAACCTGAGGGATCTTTATAAGGAAGATTACTATGTGCAAACGTTGGCAGAGGGATATGCCATTATATTTTGGCTCCAAAATGTGTCACTAGTGCAGTATGTCAGTGTCCGTTTTAGCCCTATTCTTTATAATAGGAAAGGAGGATAGAAAGTCCTGTTGTCCATATCTACATAAAGTCAATGGTTACTGTGGGCTGTCCATACCTGCACTGTATCCTATGCCTAAGAACATGAAGACACTCTGGGCTCTATTTTCGTGGACTCCGGGGAAGCGGCGGAGAGTGGCGGACCCCGCACAGTTGTATTTACATCTGGCGGAGCCCGGTGTACAGCCAGTTTGGTATTTTCGTGGACTGAGGCGCACCGAGAGCCGCCAAGCTGGGCGCCACCACGACCATCTCTGGCGAGGCACGAAAAAAGCTGCGCCGACAAGGCGTTCCCAAGTACAATTTTTGTATTATGGTGAGCGGCACAGCCCGGCGTAAGTGTCCCCCCTCCCTAACTCAGCTCCTCCCAGCGGCGTAAGTCATAGCTAGGGAGGAGAGAGGGCGTGGAGTGGATTTACTGTAACACAGCCGAGACCTGTATTGACCAATAACATCAGCTCTTCTCCTCGCCTTTAAATCCGCCACCGGCTTGGCGTATTACAATTTTAGTGAAGTAGCCAAAGAGATCAAGAGATGTCTAAAGAGAGCAAAGCCACACGATGGCGACAGCAGGCAGCCCCTCAACAAGTGTCACTGCAAGCGCTGCAGAGGGTGTCCTTCACACTCTCTCATATGAGCACAGATGGATTTGGTGTGTGTAATGTTTGACCCACTAGTAAGACAAACACCCTTTCCACAAATAAAGACACTCACATAAAGTTGCATATAATCAAACCTCACCTGACAAAGGTGGGTTGTGTGCAGAGATCACATCATAAATTCCAATAATGGCATTAAAATCGGAACCATCTGTGCGTAATGACGCATCGCGCTCTTTCTTTCATAGATGTTGGCATATAAAATAAATTTGGCTCACAAAACTGAATATTATAATATTCGTGTAGGCGAAAAGTAAAAAACTCATCTGATCATTGAAACAAAACATGAAAATGTCACTCCCCCCCCCCCCCCGCCCACTATGCCACCACGACCAGCTTGGCGGACCGCGGTGCGCCTCAGTTGACGAAAATACCAAACTGGCTGTATGACGGGCTCCGCCAGACGAAAATACCACTGCGCAGGGTCTGCCACCCTCCACCGCCTCACCGGCGGACACGAAAATAGAGCCCCATCTGTTTCTCTTCACCTGACAGTTAATGAGCAGGAGCAGGAGCAGAGGAAGCTAGGTCAGCGAAGGAAAAGAAAAGAAATAGCCAAGTTTCTGCTGCTTAAGTATGATTCATTACAAAAACAACAAAAACAAACAATATGTAGGTTTTTATAAACACTAGCAATATTGTCAAATATTATTGCTCTTTAAATCCAGTGCCAAGCCATAAGATGTCATGGCCTACAGTACTTTTACAGCAAAAGGGTGTCGCTGGGTAGTAAAATGGCTTGTTTCCTTGCAAAGCCTTAGAGTACCAATTAGATTTTTATTTTTACAAATATCAAGAATAGCTTATTTGCAATTCATCCAAAGACAATTCCAGGACATTTAACTGAAATCCTTTTTCCTCTAACTTCATCGTCCATCTTCCTGGATACGAACTCAGCCTGATCCACCATTGTGGTAGAGATTTATTAAACAATGTGGCTAGACTGTGTGAGTCTCCAAATAGATTATTACGAGAATTGCGTTAACTCCTGTCAGAGTCTAAATAGCTGCCTTTATTTGATTATAGCACTAGATCTACTCCAAGGGAAATTTACTGGCTATTACAGAGAGCTTTTAATGTCTAGCCAGCAGACACTAAAGTCATCCAGGTATCATTGAAAGATTTAGGAAAGTGCTTACCCAGATATACCTTGCTTCGCCTGAGTTGTCTTTGCTTTCTTTCTACAGTGTTTTTGCTGATTGTAAGGGTAGCATACGATATAACTCAAAGGTTCAGACCTCAGTTTTAGGTCAGTTAATTGTATGTGTTGGAGCCCATGAACCTGGGAAAACAGCTATAGTATACATCATAAGTTGATGTTGGCTGGACACGAAACGGCCTAGCCCTCCTTTTCATACTCCTCCTTTTGAGACAGAATGCACATACAGTAGCTTTGAAAAGGTCCTAGTTTACTCTAAAAGGTCTGTGCTGGGCTCTGCCTCAGAGAGGGCAGATAAAAGTTTTCTGTAACAGTGCATGTCTGATCCGACAAAAGTAAAATCTTGACATATTGTCATATGCCCATACTTATCTATGCTTTTACAGTAAACTAGTGTAGTGCAGTTTTGACTTCCCTTTTGTTTTGTATTATTTGCATATCTAAAGGCTGCTGTGCAACAAGTGAATTTCAATACATTCATCAATTAGAAAAAAATATTTTTTCACAACCTATCATTTGAGAAGAATTCAAACAATGTATCCTCCAAAACCTCCCATTTTAGATTAGACTTCATGTAGTCGTGTTTGATCCCATATTAGTTATCTGGAAAGTCTGGAACTGGTAGATTAGTGTGAAGTCTAGATCACTTTTCAGTTGAGTGTTATCACTCCTCATTGACAGTGATTGTTTCCTCTTATTTTCATTATTTCCTTCAAAGACTAAAGGTGAATTCAGATATTAGACAGTAATTTGGGGGCTGATTTCAGGGCAGTTTTTGCTCTTCATTGCATCCGAGCTCACTTCTGTCTGTAATGATCATTTTGCATCACTTGGGTAATTTTCAAACAAGTCCAAGCCAAAACACACCAGCCTCTCAGCTGAGCGGATGGCCCTGAGGATGAGAGACAGAGACTGGTTCATGGTGCTGTGGCAGAAGACTTCCTTATCTGCTGAGTTGTGTTTGACTGCTCTGTTGGTGACATTGCAATGCAGAACGGCTTCGTGAGGGAACCTGAGGATGGAGAACTGTGGTGTCTTTCCTGGGAGGCTGTATAACAAGTTCCTGTTGAGAAAGAGAAAATAAAAGTAGAGGGTGAATCAATAATTTATTGCACAAGTATCAAGAGCCAAAGCAGTCTCTTCAACTGATGGTATAATTGTACACACCTGATATTAAAGTTTGTATTCTTTATGTCTTTTCACCCTTTCATACGCTTGGAGTTTTCAGTCAAATAACATTTGTTTTCCACCATGATTTGAGGTAGTAGAAAGCACTTACAGAGCAATCAATCTCTTTTGACAAATCACAGCCACAGCAGCACTTTGTCCCCCGAGGTGGTCCATTAATGTGTAAGGAAGATTTTTTGGTGCGCTGAGGTTCTCATAATTATTTTCGCATGTAAACTAAAACCATTCTCACACATTTGAAAGACAGTTTTTGGTGGGTAAAACAAGGTAAAACTATATTCTTTCCTGGCCCATGTGCTTTGTACATGGTACAAATTTTCAACCTTCTACATATTAATTAGATGGTTTTGCTACTAAATTATGAAAGTGGTTATTGTATAAGCAGTTATCAAATATTATCAATAAATGAAATTTTATTGGTTAAACCATGGACTGTATATAGAATGGTCGCTGTCTGCCTCCTCGCTGGGTGGAGCCTCCACAGACATGTAGTTACTGTAAGACTGGTTTGTGCGCAAGTCCTCTTTTTTTCTGTGCAGTTCCATTTTTAAAAGTTATCAAGGGGTTCATGTTTTTCTTAATGTTTCAGCTAATTCCTCAGACTGTTCCAGATCATGGCACACAAAATGCAGGGGATAAAAGTTCCTGTGGGTATAATTTATAAATCTTAGCATGTTTTCTGTGGATCTGATTAGATCATAAATTAAGCAAAGTTTCTCTGTCCTTAGAATATGCTGCATGAAAAGGTTAAATTTAGGTTTTGCACAAGCACCTGCAGGCAGTCAATGCTGCTAGTTTGCTTCAGTTTTCTACTCAGACCCAACAAAAGACAATCACAGCTGAAACAGGGACACATCAAAACTTGTTTTACATTTTTGGACCTTTTTACGTTTTTGGCCTTCACGGGTCACACATGCTTTTGTATGTAAGTTACAGTACTTTAAAGACCTCTATATCCACGCCTCTTTGTCTTCCTGTCACACCAGAATTTATACCCATACAGGCACACAGATAGCTAAGCACATACAAAAACACAGTTGAGCCTTTGGGGGTATACAGAGTAGTCATTTGTAGGTCAGAAAGGCAGCGACTTCAGAGTGTAGCTCTCCTCGGGGCTGAGGTACATTGATTTTTCATAAAGTGGCTGAACAGACAGTCTTAGAGAGTAAATGGAGTGATTCTTCATCTGTTAAGACACGGGTCGGGGGCTCTAGGGTGTGAAGGAAAACTGACCTTCAGCATACAATTTAGACTAAAAGTCAAGCCACTGTGAAGATTACGAGCTCTATTTTCGTGCCTCGCCGGAGACGTGCTGCAGGCGCTGCGTAAGTCAGGTCCGCCATGCCGACAAGGCTTTCCCAAGCACAATTTGGTATTTTGGTGAGCAGCGCAGCCCGGCGTAAGTATCCCCCCTCTCTAACTCAGCTCCTCCCAGCGGCGTAAGTCGTAGCTAGGGAGGAGAGAGGTCGTGGAGTGGGTTTAACACAGCGTAGTTCTGTATTGACCAATAACATCAGTTCCTCTCCTCGCCTTTAAATCCGCCATTGGCTTGGCGTATTACTATTTTCGTGAAGTAGTCAGGAGATCAAGAGATGTCTGAAGACAGCAATGCCACAAGATGGCGACAGAAGGCAGCTCCTCAACAAGTGTCGCTGTAAGCGCTGCAGAAGGCGTCCTTCACACTCTCTCAAATGAGCACAGATGGATTTGGTGTGTGTAATGTTGGAGCCACTAGTAAGACAAACACCCTTTTCCACAAATAAAGACACTCACATAAAGTTGCATATATTCAAACCTCACATGACAAAGGTGGGTTGTGCGCAGAGATCACAACATAAATTACAATAATGGCATTAAAATCGGAACCATCTGTGCGTAAATGACGCATCACGCTCCATGGCCTGGCTCTGTCTTTCATAGATGTTGGCATATAAAATAAATTTGGCTCACAAAACAGAATATTTTAATATTCGTATGTAGGTGTAAAGTAAATAACTCATCTGATCACTGACACAAATCATCAGCAGCTGCAGACGAGAGGACACGGAGACATGTCCAGGTTGAGCTGCGCGAGAAATAAGAGGAAGAGGAAGAAAGAAAAGGAGAGAGATGAATTACATATCTTGTTCACTTCATCATGTGTGTCTATTTACTAGATATTTAATTTAATTTAATTTAATGCGGTTTCAGCTGTGTTGATTCGGTCAGGTTGTGTGTCCAAACGCGTGCCAAACGCGCTCATCAGATCAGATATAGATCAGAATATATCTATATAGATCTAAATGTATGTGCTGACTCAGATTATTAATTGTTGATGATTACTTATTGCACGGAAATGTGCCTTACGCTGTGGAAACCTGCCGGTGAGGCATCGGTGACGTATGCCGATATGCCGCCGGTCTACCAAAATACCTCTACACCAGCTGCGCTCTGCCTGTGCTGAAAGCTGACCAGGTTTGAATCAGCGAGCTTTCAGTGCACTTTATACGCTGGTGGTGAGCACGAAAATGTCACTGCGCCCACTGAT